TGTTTACAAAAGTATTCAGGCTGAGATTGAAAATGGATTAGCGATTTATATTAGCAAAAGCATATTAAGAGATTCTCAGTATATCATAAAACTGATAATCATGTAATGCAATTCATAAAAGCAAAAAACATGTTTTGTGGTACAGTAGTTCAATAGCATGAAAGCTGAGCTTGAATTATCTTAATCTGAAAACTTATAAAAGTTTTGGTGATGGCAGTGATCCCTCTTCTGATACTAAACTAGGAATATGCAGGGGTTTATAATTTTCATTTAGGGAAGGTATGGACTTGTTTTACTGAGTAGAAACCATAGAACTCCTTAAGGTTCATCAACTAGAGCCAAATGCAAAACAGTGGCATTTCCTACTGTAACTAGTAACCACATTAACAATGTATCACAACAGCAATATACAAGAACAAATCTGCATCTGAGTTTGCTGCATATCGGGGATCCATCAGCTGGCCTGAGTAGGCAAACCTTTGTTAGTCAAACCTGTGCTGCTGTATTGTGAGTCCTCTGGTGATGTGCCAGTAGATCTAGATGTGCCCTGTTTTCCTAGCTGACAGTGTCAGTGGATCTGTGGCTATACAAACCGGGATTTTATTTGTGTGATTGCGTTAATGTTTGTGGGGAAGGTAAAAGAGCTTGGTAGAATACTTCATTCTCTTTCCTACTAATCACACAAAGTCTTCCATTTTAAGTATTTCTGCAACCTACAGAACTGGAGTGGACCAGTATATAGTCTTAAGAAATCTCAAATAGCAAACTATGCTATTTGCAGTTTATACATCTTGCATTAACTGGAATAGACTTCTCATGCAACAAGACTCCTTTACCTTCAGCCTCCTGGGTGCCCCTCAGATCTGCCTGGGAGGTACAATTCACTTAGGAGCAAATTTGAAGGGTGCAGAAAGCAGACATTGGTAGTTTCTGTTTTGTTGAGAGACTTAGATAAAGTGCTTGATTTAGCTACTTTGTTTCATGCAAACTTAGAGATGTTGAAAAAATAAATGTAAGTTGGATTCTTCATCTGCTTTTTGTTCATTTGTTGTAGCATCTGAAAATTAGAAGTAAAGGTGTAAGATCTATGTGAACAGCTAAGGGCCAGCACGTGCATGATATTCTACTCAAATATTCCACTGTATTGGTAACATCTCTAAACATTACATAGATAGTAAATCTGGGAAATAAGACTTTGGTCCCATTGTTGCATAGTTTACATCTATAAATATTACCAATTTAGCCTTATAGTGACTTATTAGAAAGCATATTACTATAACATCTCATTGGGGTCTCAGTTTCCCTGGGTAGTTTACAAGCCACTCTGCAAATATTCCTCAAACATATTTGATCACCAGACCTACCTGGGTTCAATATCTATTACTGCAGCAGGAGTGGGCAGTTTTTACATTTATAATGTGAACTTTGTTTTTACTAAGAAGCTTTTAAACTTTGTACACCCCTCATTTAAGCACAGAAACAGTATTTTAAATGATTAAGTGGAAAGACAGTGCCAGGTAGGGCTTAGAAAAATAAAATACTTCGTAAGATACCTGTCATAATTATTTCTGCCGTTTCCTGTGAAAAATATTGTACTGAAATATTTTTTTCTGATAGGCATTTAAGGATGCTCCATGTGATGCTATCTTCCCAACAGAACTGGAGAGACTTGACAGTTTGGTTTCAATCTGTTGAGTCCTGTGTTCCTGGCATCACTCTCATTAGATGCTCTATTAGTCAATGAATGCAACGTTAAAACCACATGTAAGAGAAACCCTGTGGTGTTATTGTCACCACATGTGGTAGAACAAAGCATGGGTTATCCCAGCTATATTTCTTTGGAACCCATTGCTACAGTTTTAATAAAGCTGTGAACTGGACCTTGCCATTGGATAATGCTGCTTTATCTATCAAATCTTTAACTGCTGCAGCCAAATTACAATACATTTTGGTGATGCAGGTGCTAAATCAGTTTGTGGATATAGTCATGGACTGGATTAGGGCCAGTAAAGTGAAATTGGATCCATACATGATGGAGGTTCTAAGAAATTGGTGTTTAATCTATCTTTGATGTGGCTGTACTTTCTGAAAGAGCAGGTTTGGAGGCGTAAGGGTGCTCCTAGATCTGGCCTTTTCATTAGAGGCCCGGGTGTTATTGGTGCCATTAAGTACCTTTTACTAGCTTCATCAGGCCAACTTTAACTGTTTCTCAACATTCCATGTCTCCTAGAATGCATCTCTAGTGACTGATTCCATTATAACTATGGGTATGAGACCCAAGAGTATTCAGATCCATGGGCTATAAAACATTTCTTTATAAAGCGATGCAGCATTATGCATATAAAGGCAAATCCTAACCCATCATTAATAACTCCTATAAGCAAAAAGAAAAAGAAAAAAAGAAAAAAGGAGGAGGAATCTTGAAATCTGTTTGTAATTGCCTATGCAGCTGTAAAGTAGACAGGACTTGGCAAAAGTCATGCTGGGTTATTTTGTACTTGGACAACCACTTAATTGTATAAATGAAATTAGTACCTTGAGGCAGGTCAATCCTATTGCCCCACTGTGCTAGTGTTTGTATGAACTACACTGATATTTTTTCTTACCTTAAGTACAGGAGACTAGCAGGTTTTTGGGAAAGCTGCACCTCTAGGAAGGGAATGTCTGACATGAGCTTTCCAGAGGAGGCAGGGCCATCCTCAAGATGCCAGTTTTAAGCTTGTACCTTGTGAGACGTAATGCTTTCTATTGTAATGCTCTACAATAAAAATAAAATAAAGAAGCAGCACCAACACTTTTTCACTTGACATGCATAAACCTTGGAGAAATGAGTGGCCTTTCTATTGCTGTTGCACAGGCTGCACCAGGAGGAGTTTGGGTAGCATATACTGGTTTTGCTAATTGAATGGCAGCCATTACATTAATTGATTGATTTAATTGATTAATTACATCAATGTAATGTAAGATTGTGTGCCCATTGCCTCATAAGTATGTGTTCCAGAGAAGCCACTCTGAGCCATGCAGGAGATGTACAGACACAGTGGAGAACACTAAGGCTCCACCCACAGAAGAATGAAGCAAAGCTTGCCAAGTCCAGGTGGCAGCCTCAACCTTCATCACTTCTCTGGGATCCAGACAGTATCAATTGGATAAGCCACCCTGCTACCCATCCGTAGGCCTAAGCAGGCCTTATGGTTGGGAGAACTCTTCCAGCCTTCCTGGGGCCCAGCAAAGGGCCTGTCATGAGCAGGTGTCTTGTTCTTTCCAGCAGACTCAGATGACACCAGAAACATAATCCTTTTATTAAAATTTCACAGGTTACAAAACAGTATACATCAAAATAGTCCTCTCTTTGAGATATGGGATATCTCCCGTGTGAAGGGTCAAATACTAACTGGAAGTTTCCTTCCTTTCCTCCCTTTTGGAAAGAGTCAGACTCCAACCTCAGATTGGCTCCTGGTTATGAGTTGGGATTTTCTTCCCTTCGCACATTCAAGGCAACAGGCTGTTGCATTGCAAAAAGGTCTTTAATTTACCAAAGTTTACTCAATAAACTCAATCAGCACAAAATGTATCCCTGAGCATGCACAGAGCAGGCCATTGAACCCAATCTAACCAACCACTTCCCGAAATCCTCCTTTTATGTATGTGGGGTCCTGATCCCTTCAGGTTGATCCATTTGAAAGTGAGCATGCTTTTTCTTTGTATGCCAGCCCTCTAATTGGCTGTCTTTTCCCTGACACCATGCCATGGGGTCAAGGGTTGTACCTGGTTTATCTTACTCCAAAAATTCCTCTTCTATGTCCCCACCCAGTAACTATACATTCTGGTTATTCTTAGAGCCTTCCCGAGCACCTCTTCTACAATTTCCTAGTCTGGTGGCCCCCTTTCCAGGCCCCCTCCATCTTCTTCTCTTCATTCTCTGATGTAGAATCCAGAAAGCCATGATCCAGGAGTAGATGCTAAGGGCAATTGTCACTCTCATGCCCAACACTTCTGCAGCTGGAGGGCTAGATAGCAGGAATGTTGGCCACTTCTTATTAGGTTCATTTGCTTTACCTGTCATCTTTTTACAAGGTCAAGGAACTTCCCTGTATTTCTTCCTGAAGCTCTGAAATGTCTCCCTGCCCTTTTGAGGTGGGCTAGTTTTCATAGTCTGTCTGAGAATCTCCACTAGGTAACTTTGAAACTGCAGAGGCGTTGTAAACAAACATAAATCAGCCAAGTTGCCCACTCCTGGTTTTATGAAGGGCCCCTTAACAATTCTACAGGGTTTGGCTCATGAAAAGTTCTTCAGGATTAAGTAGTATTCTTATGTACCCTTCCCTGCAAACCTCACATACACACTGATGGGGTCTAAAGCTGTCAGTGACTAACCAAGAAAGGGATTGTGCAGTTGTGGTGGTTAGTTCAATGAAAATGTCTACTTGGTATCTACTTGGTATGACTGAGTTTGCACATTGTGGCTTAGTGTGTTGTCTAAACTCAGCATGCTCCCTGCTCCCCTACAGGCTGGCTTCTTTGTAACAACACCCCAAGAAACCATGGCTTGTTGTAGGATTTCATAGTCACTAGTGAGCTTGCTGTGAACCCTGATGACATAACAAACCCAGGTGAGACCCTGAAGTCTGCAACGCATCCTAGCACGAGTAGCAGAAACATTTGCTGCTCTGGCCAGTCAGCTCTGATGACCATTGTCCAATGTGTCCAAGTAGTATTTTGGGCAGCTGTCATGGGCTTCTCTGCTACCTTGCACTGGTACCAGTGTCTGTCCTGCACTGCCTTCCTAGGCCCCTCTCTGGGTCTGATGAGGTGTTGGTACTGCCAGCATCCACCACACACTACCTTCCCAAGCCCTGCTCAAGGCTGAACAAGGCTGCATGTGGCAAAGGAATGCTCTGCTGGGTCTGTTCTGGAGGTGACCCTCAGAGCCCACCTGCTGCCGTGATTGCAGGGCTATCTCAGCTTGCTTGCAGTATGCTGTGGATCTAACTTGTAGTTCCATAAATATTTGGTACTCCAAGGAGAGTTCATACTTGTCAGCAGTAATAGTAGTTTGGGATGGGTATATTTTGTTAAAGAGGACCATGTTTGTGTTAATGTTGATAAGTATAATTTCAGTGCATTGTCTCCGATTGCAAAAATGCTGTTTGTGCCAATGTGCAAACCCTTTCCCATAGTATTGGTACATAGCAATAAATAAAAGCTACTCTGCATGTGCTGAAGTATGGGTATCTAATGGCTGAGATTTTGCTCTAAATACAGATTTTGGAACTAAGCCCTCAGTCTAAAAGATTACCTTCTAGTTTTGAGAATGACTGAGAGATAGTTTCAGAATAATTACATGAGCTGTTCAAGGGCAGCTACATATTATTATGTATTTTTTTAACTAATGCAACAATATCTTTGAGGTTCTAGTGAATTTCAGAATATTCTCTAAGTCATATAGTCAGCTAAATGTTTCTGTGATACATCAATTCTGTATTATAAATGGCATTGGAAGATCTGATGAAGTATTCTATAAGAAAGCTCATGCCACAGTAAACTGTTAGCTGCTCAACTTGATACAAAGTGGTTGCTCATAATTTTAATAGTGAAGGAGTAAGGAAGAGAACACTGAGTTATGAATTTAGAAAAGATTGGGAAAGAGTGTAGTTTTGTAGGGACACATGGTTCATATTTTATAAAGAGGAAAGAAATGTAACAGTTGTATTATGTTACATCTGCAGCAGCAACGCCAGGCAGGTGCAACACCAGTACCAGGCAGGTCCAGCAGCAGCAAGCAGCAGCGTCATTGTTCAGTGAGTTAAATAACATCAGAAGTAGTGTTTTTCTTTTCCTTTACTACATAATACATTGTCTTTATCATATCAACAGCTCTTTGAGAGGAAAACTATTACTATTCATATTTTATAAACAGAAACTGAGGCTAAGAGAGACTTGTGTAATGAATTTGTAGTAGTGCAGCAGTAGGGTGGGTATAAATCCAAAATCTTCCAGATAAAGGATTAGACCTCTTCCTTGGGGGTGTTAAAGCCAATGTTGCACCAGCAGAAATCAGCTAGCATGATGGGGCTTTCTCCCTTTCACTTACCCATTGCATCCCTCTAGAGCAGATTTTGAGGCTTCATGGAAGCTGCAACATGAGGGGAATCATCACCTTCCTGGTTCCACAGATGGAACTGTTTTCATCAGTAGGATGGCAGGTGTTGGATTGAACCATGGCCCCATATTATACAAACCCTTTCTTGATTTTTAAAATGGAATTCACCAAAGCTATACAAAAGAAAAATACATGATAGTTTTGTTAAAGAAATTAAAGTAACTCAATATATATTTATGAAATATATATTCATAAATATTACTATATAATTACATATCCAAGTATTAATAGAAATAGTTATGCATAAGCTTCAGAAAAAGTGGACCAAATTTTCATTTATCCATGGGTGACTGAATACCACCCATTCAAATATTGAAAGCATCACTTGGTCCTCAATGCATTGTGTTATAGGAGGTGGGCATTTCTTTTTCCTGTGTTGTAATACCAGTCATTTGGCTGTCCAATGGTGTGAAAAAGCTACTTTCATTGTCCCTGTGATAAGTTTCAAACAGCAGGTAAATAATTTAGAAGAACATGTGCCTCATTAAAGCTTAAAGAACATTCTATTACTAAGCTTATCCATACTGTGAATACCACTCCAAAAAAAAAAAAAAAAAAAAAGCAACTACTGGACTTGGAGTTAAGCAAGTCATTAATACTATTACATCTCCAACACTTACTGACTTTGACAAGCCCTTTTTAAAAAGTTCTTGTGCTGTCCAATAAACACTTTTTTATTTTTTGGCTGAATAATATGTAACCAAGATCCCTAGACTCTTCTGAAACAGATGCAAAAAAAATGTTTCATAGATTAGGCAAAATGGGACTTCTAATTCCTTGTTCCATTTGTCTTTAAGACTCTGTCATATTCATTCATAAACATTTGTAAAAATGAATCGTGTGATGTTATAACTGCTTAGCCTCAATCAATGCTTCCAGCTTTAAAAAGGGCATTAAAGCAGTTCAATCAGCACAGCCAAATCCAGATTCTAACAAATGTTACAATTGCAACTATTGTCATTCAGCTGAGGAAGGGAAATCATATTTGGCACACAGATCTGAAAATGACAGCAGTTCATCCACACCCACTAATTGAAAAATCAATCTGTCCAAGTTTTCTGCATGAACATTTTTTAAAACAGTTTTAAAATCTGGAGTCAATTTAGCATGAGAAAATGGGTCAAATTGTAACTGACAAAATATATGTCATACCTCTCTGACTGCTGTGATTGTGGGGAGCACCATGTCTGTTTTAGCATGCTGAGAACCTAATGGCATCCACTTGGAATTCAGATAAAGAATTCCAAAACTGACCAAGGTGGACAGTTTGATCTAAGTGGAAAAGGTCAAAATTCAGAACTGGTCAGCAAATAAGCTCTATGATATAAGGCAAGATTTGAAAAGCTAAACCCACTCTCTTTTGTTGAAAACTGCATCCATTTCAAATAAATTTGTGGGGGGAGGACCCCCATTTCAAAACAAAGCATTACATTTTTCAAAATGGTTGCCAGGTATAATAGGGGTATAATATAAGCAAATCATATACAATCCTATGTTCAAGGTTCAGCTTAAATGTATTATCCTTGCCCAACAAACTCAGCTTAAGAGATGCCCAACAGTCTGTGTCCTGTGAGACCCCATTGGTGAACTTGATCAGATTTAACTTGCTCATTTGGGATGGCTTTCTAGGGATAAGTATTCCCAATGGTAATAACATTTGAACACCATCAAAATTCCAGTGAGCTAATATAAGATACAGTATCTCCAACTGACATCCATTCTGGTGTCACCGATGAATTAAATAGACAAACCACCAAAATTATTAATCACCAGCATCAAAGGTGGAACTAATGATTAGAGTTTTAAGATAAATGGTAGAAGACTATTAGCATGCAGCATAATTATAAATTCTACATAATCATATACAAATTTATGAATGCTACTATTCTAATAGTAGATGCTAGGGGTTCAAACATAAATATTGGTGGAGAAAGTGGATACCCCTCTCCCAAGTGTAAATAATCCAAGGAAAAACACTGGTTTTGATACTAGTTTGCAGAGTTAGATATAAATTTTTGACACATTTTTAAAATTCTGCTGGAAGACTAATATTTTCAAGGTAGCAAAGATAAATTCCCAGTGAATTTTGTCTGAAGTGTTCTGAGCATCCAAGTCAAAAGGCTTTGAAATATGTGATTATGAAAGCTTGCTCATGGTTCCAGTGTGAGACAGAAAATAATGTTGTGAAGGACATTAGGAGGGTGAGCACCCGGAGGAGGGCTTTCTCTGCGGTGGTACCCAACCTATGGAATGTGCTCCCCAGAGAGGTCTGCCTGGTGCCGTTGTTATTTGCTTTTTGGCGCCAGGCCAAGACCTTTTTATTTAAACGTCATTTTAATTGTTGATTTTATTTATTGATTTTAACAACTTTGGCCAGGACGTCTCCAACTGTATTTTATTGTACTAATGATACTTATTTATTTGTAAGCCGCCCCAAGGCTTAGGCGAATGGGGCGGCTTATAAGTCTGCTAAATAAATAAATAAAAAAACAGAAATCCTTTTGGGTAAACAGATGTGCTCAAAACAAATGTACTGACTTTATTGCTTGCTTAGAAAAAATATTCCACCAAATATAATTTATTTAAACAAGCATTCAGAAGTTAAGTTTTTTCTTCCCTTAGTAGACCTGGGTTGTGTGAAGAAACTTGTGTAAATGATATGGAAGTAAATATAGAAATACTGTACATGCCATATATTGGAAAACATATATAGGAAGGGCTTCCACCATATTCCCCACTTCTCATGAGACCAACATTTTGGCCTCAGAACTGGAGAAGAAGGCTGGGTAATGGCCCAACCTTGCACCATCCCAGTACGGGTCCTGAGGGAAAGAAACTACAGGAACCAGGGCTGTTGACACCAACATGGGTCTGGTGGGTGGGTTACATGAATGCACAGATGACCACTCAAAGAACATCAGTTACAGGTAAGCAACTTTACTTTATCAAAGCATGGTTTTACTCCTATTCAGGAGAGATTGCAGTGACTGCAACAGAATTATCTGCAAGAAGGAATTTCGTACAGTGGTGGCCACTTGGCATTCGTTGGGACATGGGTGGAAAATCCAGAGTTGATGAAGATGAAAACCACCTATTAAATCAATGATTTAGGAAAAAAGAGAAATAGAAGACTTAACTACAAATTAAGGGTGCTATTAGATGATTTTGTGGGAGACACTGGATTTCTCATGAGGTCAGGCTCCCCCTTTTCCTATGTAGCCCCCGAACTATCCAGAGCGAATTTGGAAGGCATGAAGGGTGGAGAGGGTATCAGTTCCACCAGTAATGTCCATTCTGTAGGTGGACAGATACAATTGGATACAGCCCAATTGGTTTTGCTATGGAATTAACCAATAATAATAACTGAGTTCTTTCTGATAAGGATAATGGCAAATATTTCTGAATCAGCTGCCTTCTGATTGGCTGTATATGGAAGTTGCTTTCATAAATTTGGAGATGTGGACCTCAAACTTGAGATGTTTAACCCACTTTCTATCAGGAAATTCACAGCTTACATTGGGCACTCAGCAGCACTGACTAGGTTCCTACCTCCTTAATGTTTACATAGTAAAGTGTTGGTATTTGCAGATTAATCAGCTATATCCTACAAAACAAAGATGAAAGGTAGAGATTACTTACTCGCAAAGGTTGTTGAGTGTAACTCACCAGATCCCCCTATGTGTGGACTAAGCATTTATTTCATCACATTAGTTTTCCACCCTTCCTCCAAGGAGCTTAATTGTAGTGTACATGGGGTCCCTTCCCCCATATTACTTGAAATAATTGTGTGAAGTAGGCTTAGCAGAAAGAGTGACTTGACTAAGCCTACTTACTGAGTGAGATTTAGTTCTTCTTGATGCAAGTACAACATTATGTTATAACATCCTTTGGCTAGTGGTACTTGCTTCAAAATAGAAAAGGTAGTCTGAGGAACAGGAAGGAGAAGCGGGGGTTCTCCTCTTCCTTCATTCTGACTGTGTCTTATGGAATGAAAAGGATTTTCAGAAAGAATATGACTTATACAATTCAGTGGTTAATTCTGTCAGCAGTACCCATGCAAATATATAAATTGAAGCACTTCCCTCCCTCCCTCCCTCCCTCCCGTAATGATGAAGGGAAGCATATTGGGCAGGTACACTGTGTCCTTTGCCACATAAATATGGGAGTTTACTGAGTACATGTTCTCTGATTTTCCTTTTCCTCCAGAAATACAACCAGAATAATAATGGAAGAAAAGCTTGCAAAAAGACAACAAATAATGAGGCAGTTTGGAAGCATCTTATGTGTTATCTGAATCTGCTGTTAGAATATTTTACAAGAGTTCATACAAATTGCGATAATCCAGCCAATGTTTGTAAGCTAAGTTTTGTAGGCAGTGTTATTTTATAGGTGAAATAAATTTATTTAACTTCCGTGTATGCACAGGTCACTTCCAAGCTCCCAAGCAGATGTCTGAAACCACCGATAATATAGCAAACACTAAATAGTGCACTATAAAATAGCAAGTGGGCACCCATTGGTGGTGGCAGTGGCGAATTTATGGCACTTTACAACTTCTCTTTCAGGCTGCGGTTAACTGCAGTTAACTGAAATTGTGGTATCTGAGCCAGCAGATATTCTGCTGTATTCAAAGTGGGT